GAGCCCAACGTGGGGCTCGATCCCAGGACCCTAGGATCATGACCTGAGCCAAAGGCAGACGCTTAACGACTGAGCCACCCAGGCGTGCCCCTAGGATCACTTTTCTTTTGCCTGAAGATTTCCCTTTAGGATTCCTTTTGTGAAAGCCTCATGGTGACAAATTCTCTCAGCTTTTATCTGAGAACACCTTTATTTTAAAGACTGTTTTCATTAGGAAAAGACAAAAACAAAAACAAAGTGTGGTGGCAGTTTTTTTTCACCCCAGAACTTTAAATATGTCTTTTCATTGTTTTCTGGCTTTCATCATATCTGATGAGAAGTAAGCCATCATTCTTAGTGTAACACAGTACATTAATCAAAATCAAGAAGCCCTGTAACCCTGAAACAAATAATACATTATATGTTAATAAAAAAGTCTCATCAAATTAAAAAAATCAAGAAGTCAACATTAATATGGGATTTAACCTACCAATCTTACTCAGATCTCACCAGTTCTCTCTCCAGTATTCTGTAGAACAACAACAAAAAATATGGTCTAGGATCTAATCTAGGCTCACACTGTATTTAGTTATCATATCTCTTGATTTAGTCTCCTTTAATGTGGAACAGTTCCTTAGTCTTCACCTTTCATGATAGAGTGCAGGCCAGTTCTTCTGTAGAACATCCCTCAGCTTGGGTTTGTCTGATATTTCCTCATGATTAGATTCAGGCTATGCATTTTTGACAGGAATACCTCAGAAAGGAGGTAGTGTTCTCAATGCATTATATCAGGAGGCACATGAAGTCTATTTGCCCCATTCCTGCTGATATTAATTTTGATCATGTGGTTAAGCTGTGTCTGCCAGGTTTCTGCACTATAAATTACTATTTTTTTCTCCTTGTAGTTAACAAGTAATTTGGGGGAGGAATTTTGAGAATTTATGAAGATACTGATCTCAAAACACAAACACACACACACACACACACCCCAAAAGCCCAAAACTTTTTATCCTCTATTGATGCTTCTTGCCTGAGCAATTACTACTATGGTGGTTGTCAAACGGTGGCTTTCTAATTCCAGAATTCCTTCTACAATTAGGTGGAAGTCTACAGAATGCATTTTTTAATAAGAGTTCCATCTACTTCTCATTTGCTTTGTTCCTAAGGGCCTACCCCTTTGGGGTTTTCAACTGAAATCCTGGTGTATACAGCAGGGTCTTTCCTTTTGAGAGAGGCTGAATTCTGATCTCTTATCTTCTCAGCACTGTGACTCTGCAAAATTCTGCTCTGCTTTACAGAGGTCTGGGCTTAGCTTCTAAGGTTCCCATCTTATAAAACTTCAGACTTCAGTAAATGGCATGAAACCTGAACTTATATTTGAGGCTTCTCAAACCTTCAATTTCATCACTCCAGCCTATGAGACTATAAAAACCTCCGCTAATTTCTCTTGTCTCACTATAAAAACCCTTCTGCCTGGGGAAAGCCTGGATCCTTAGCCTCCTGCCAGAGTCAGCAAAGGCAAGTGGCTGAAAATCCCCACGGTTCTCCCCTCTCCACAACCTTAACCCTTCCAATAGCTGTTGCTCCTGTAACTCTCTTAAACTTGAAATATCACCTGTTTATTTTCACTGGGAACGTTATTTGGCTGCCAACTACTCCATCCTACCCCGACGTGAGAGTTCTACATTTTCCTTTTTGGAGGCTGTGGAGTATTGCATCATATGAGTGTCTCGTTTAAAAATTTAACCTCTCTTCTAATTATATTTATTTTCTCATTATTATAATGAGTACTGCAATAATCATGCTTATAGGTATACCGATATACATGAGTTATTTTTGTAAGATAAATTTATGGAAATAAAATGGCCAGGTCACAAAGTATGATGATTTGCAATTTTGACAGGTATTGTCAAACGGCCCTCTAGTAAGACCGTGCACTCGGCTGAGCTGACAGTGTCTAATAAATGACCATTGAGGTGTTTCGAGCGGGTCACAATCTTCTCTGCCTCTTCAGGTGCCTCAGAGGTCTCCCAGCCCTCTCTGTTCCAGACTCAGTCTTCTGTGGTGAGTGGGCAAGGCAATCCACAGATCTGGTGTGTGGTGCAGGGCAGCCCTGCCAGTGCTCCTGTCTTCTCTTGGTACCAGCAGCTGAGGGGGAGTGGCCCCACCTTCCTGCTGAGTCAGCGAGAAGGGATGCCCCCAACCTATGGTTTGGGTGTGAATCCTCGCTTCCTGGTAGAGATGGACCCAGGCAAAAATGCCGCCCTCCTTACCGTGGGCCATGCCAGCCCTGCTGACGAGGGCATCTACTACTGTGCCCTGTGGTTTTCAGGCCAGTATGTCTTTGGAGAAGGTACCCGTCTGCTCTATCAGGGTGAGTGAGTCTCAGAGTGTAGGGATCTGGTAGCCCTAGTGTGTAAGACTGCAATGGTGGGGGTGGCAGTGGGCAGAAAGGTGTCGATGGTGGAGCCCCCTTGGAGGAAGCCTTGCTCAGTAGGGATAAAGGGAAGAGAAGGAGGGCCCAGAAGACTAGACGACCAGCACAGAAAAGGCTCAAGCTTCTGGATGGTGGATTCGACTGGGAGCATCTGAGGATGGACACAGACACCTTAGGCCCAGACTTTTAGGCCTGGGAGGGGAAGCCTAATCAAGAACATTACATCCCTTCCCTTCCCTTGCTCTGTAGGAAGGATGCTGGAGGCCCAGAGGATGAAGAGTACGTGGCAGAGACAAACTCAGAGCTCATCTTCTGGCCAGAAGGCTAGCTGTGGGGGGAAACAGATTCCAAGAAAAGCAAGCGAAGGCCATGGAGGAAGGGGAGAAGCGTCTCCAGAAGGAAGGAGATGCAACAGGACTATGAGCTTGGAAGGGGCTGGTGGTAGTGGGTGACTTCCCGTCATTCCCTGCAGCTAAGAGGCAATCCCCGGCTTTCCAGCCACCTGAGCTGAGCCCGTTTGTCCCAGCCTCTGGCCCTCCCTTCCACGTACTTTGTGTGGCCCTCGGACACAACCCTGACCCTCTGAGGGTCTCCTGGGTCCTGAAAGGCCAGTGTCGGGAGGAAGAGGACTCCACCGGAGGAGCCGGGGAGCCCGTGGCCAGCTGGCTGCAGCTGCCTCGGGAGGTGGCGGCAATGTCTGTGACCTGCCGAAGCTTGCACCAGACTGGAGTCTCAGAAGTCACGCTGTCCCTCCCCTGCAGCCAAGGTGAGAAAAGAGGACCTAGGGGTGTGCTCCAGGCTTCCTGATGCAACCGCCTGGGACACTGACATCAGTTCCCCCTGGCAAACTGCAAGGCACTGCTGTGCGGGGCAAAGAACCCTTGGCTTGGCCCCAGCTTCCGGGTGAAGCCTGGACTTGGCTTTGGAGCCTATGCAGTGACGTTGTGGGACCAACTTCCCCCAAAGCCCTCATACCTACTCTGTCACTCCTGGCTTCTGCATTCTCTAGTGGCAAATGCCTCTTTATTTCCTTTGGGGGATACAGCAGAGGGAAGCTATCTGAAGGGCATCTGCGCTGTTCCAGGGTGCGGGAGAAGGCTGGAATTGAAGAACAGGAAGGAGACTCATGAGAAGATCGGACACACTCGTCTAGCTAAGGACCCTCAGACATTGAGCTGGGACCTGGACCCCTAGGTAGCAAAGCCATGACTTTTCACCACCAACCACCCATTTGAGAAGCATTTAGGGAGTACTATGTGTTTCCTAGGGCAGAGAGATGACTGGAACAGTGTGAACATTAGTGAGTCTAGAAGGCGAGGTCAGACACTGAACCAATGTTTAAAATGCAAGGAGAACGGCCCTAAGGCTTTTAGGGCAGGAACACGGGATATTCAGGAGCTGAGAGAGCTGGGGCGGGGGGTGGGGGGGCCCTCCTGCAGGAGGGCCCGGGAAGCTCCCATGGACGAAGCAGAGTCAGAGCTGAGCCCTCAGATTCTAGCTGGACCCAGTCAAGAGCACCTGGGTCTAGTCCTGGTTCTGCCCTCAACTCTCTGTGGCCCCTTGGAGTCTTTCACCTTCTCTCGGCCTCAGATCCACCCACCCATCTACCACTCCCAGTCCCAACTGTCTTTGCCCTTACAGATCTTAAGTCTAACTTTTTCATCTGTAAAAATGGGGAGTAATAGAACCTCTTGGAGGATCAAGTGAGCCAGAGAGAGCTCTCCAGGAGGCAGTCAGAGGGCCAGGCTGGTCCGACTCACGCTGTGCCTGTCTCCCTCGCAGTGGAGCTGGAACAGACCCTCACCGCTGCCGCCTGCTGCTACCTGGGCCTGCTTGCTGCAGCTCTGGTCTATGGCCTCATCGTGGCTGCCCTCCAGAGGGATCGCTGCTGTAAGGCCCACCCTATGGAGCCACTCACCCGACAGGGTCAAGGAGCAGCCCTCGGTTCCAGGGTGCAGGCGGGCAGAAGGTGCCCCCCTGTCAGGGCCCCGGAGCGCAAGGGGCCTACCCCCAGCAGATTCCACGTCGTCCTCCGAGGGGCTGCCCGTGCGCTGGACCCTCCCTCCTTGCTCCAGCCAGCTTCCTCCTAGTCTGCTGGCCTTTTGTTACCCTGTGGGGCCCCCTTTTTTCTCCCAGAGTGTTCAAATTTCTCCACAAATACAGGGAATTTGAGAAGATACTGCTGTGCTGTTGTTCTGGGCAAGGGAGGTGGGATCCCAGGACCGAGGCCAGCAGCTCCCAGGGGAGGCCTGTCCAGGGTCGGCAGACTCTGAGGACAGGTCAGCCACCCCAGCCCGGAGCCTGATGGTCAAATAGGTCCCAAAGCCAATATGGCTCGTTGGAGGGAAACACATACGGCAGAGGCAGACGATCATGATTTGCGGCTCATGAACTGAGAAAGCCGGGTCACACCCACCCTCTCTCACTTCTTCATCTAGTTGAGAGTGGGGTATCTAGGGTCCCCCCCTTTTTGGTTAAAATCCTTTTATTCTTACCCCCCCTTTAAAGATTTTATTTATTTATTTGAGAGAGAGACGGAGAAGCAGGCTCCCTGCTAAGCAGAGAGACCAATATGGGGCTCCATCCCAGGACCCTGGGACCATGACCTGAGCCGAAGGCAGATGCTTAACCGACTGAGCCACCCAGGCGCCCCTCTTACCCCGTTGAGAACAAATGGCAAATACCTCTGAGGACTGAAGTTGCTCAAGGATCTCTTACCAGAGAGAGCACACAGAATTTTACGGTAGGGGGAGTCATTCAGAGACTGCTAAGGCAGCATGGTCCCCGTGACTGCTGTGTCTCCATGAGGAGCCAAGTGCAGCAGGGCAAGGTAACCCACCTCTCCTTTGTGGGGGTACCAGCGACGAGGAGCCTGAGCCCGGAACCTCATCTCCCATGCTTACACCACAGGGGCGCATCCTCTCGGGGACGCTCTAGAGCATCTGGCCCCACACTCTTCCCCTTCAGGGTGATGGCTGCCCAGAGCTCCCTACAGTGTTTGTAGTTAGGGCTCAAAGGCCCCCAAGCCGTCTTCCTCCTTTCTTCTACACTTCACCTTCTCCCAGCCTCTGCGCTACACCGATGTGGCACCTGCCGAAAATGGAGCTGAAGAGTTCTGAGAAGAAACCCTGGTCCCAGGACCCCTCAGTCCTCTCTCACTGGGCGTCCCAGCACTTGAATCCCGGTACGCACATGTCTACTTCGAGAAATCCTTGCTATCGTGCCAACTCCTTAGTGAGGACTTTGTAACACCCCGGCGCAAATTAGCTTTGCCGACAGTGGAGGAGGTGGAAAGCTCAGCAAGGGTGTCCCAGAGGTCACTGGCCCTGGGACTGGGCTGTTGGGATGCGGAGGCGAGGGCTGACCAACAGGGACCTGGTGGGGCATGGAGAAGAAATATGGCCTAGTTCTGGCCCCAGTGGGAAGGTGGCCACTAGTCACTGGTGCCATCCACGTGTGCTATCTGTAAGGATAAGTCCCAGCGAGGAGCTCTCCCCAGGAAGGAGCCTTAGGTCGTGCCTTAAACACATCCGTCAAGTGAATCTTTCCCAACACCTCAGCCTGAAAGTCAGAAAACCTTGGATCTGACCTCTGGCTCTCCTCTAAAGGTCCTATGTCCTACTGTGCTTGACCTGCCCAGCTGAGGAGACAAAGGATGCCAGTGAGTGCGGCGAGTCGGCGGCAAGTTCAGTCAGTGTGCACAGCCGAGCGCACAGCTCCACGGCGGCTCCTGGCAGAGCAGGCGGGGGTCCTCCCAGTCACCAGAGAAGATTTCACCAGTAAAAACCTGCAAACTCTTTATTAAATTCTCCCATTTCATCTGTACAGAAAAAAATGCACATTATGTTCAGGATCTCAGTAACATTTCAAAATTACACAGCATGAACATGTAAAAACAAGGAACTGCCGGGATTTTATACATAGAAAGAAAAATCATTTACAAAAGAGGCTTGTTAATTTTACTTTTTTTTCTCTTTCTTAAAAAAAAAAAAGTTCAAGGCCTAAGATCTCACACAGCACCTGCTGTTCAGTCTGTTTTCCTGCTTGGACTGACCTGGGCACGCTGAGCCAGGAGGAGCCGTCAGGAAGCCCGCGGCCGGCTCAGCTCTGCCGCGGCCCCTCCAGCCCGTGTGCTGCAGCCTGCCCCGGGGGCCTGCTCCTGCCTCCCCGGCTCTGGCATGGGCTTGCTGGGCTCTGGGGTCCAGGTGTCGATTCCATGATGGGGGAAGGCAAAAACAGAATATAGAGGCACTATCTGAATTTTCTCCTTGCCTAGGGAGGTTCCTCTACTGCCCGTATCCCAACATCCCTACTGGGGTGTGGTGACAGATCTTGGGAGGAGGCGCGGAGAGGAAACCATCAGGATCTTGTCACCACCAGCCCAAGGAGACAGTCCCACCTTGTGCTCTGGACGACAAACAGTCCCTGGGTCTCCATAGTGACCTCACTAGATGGTTCGGGGAAGCTGGTCACTCTGTAGAGTCAGTCTGGGTTTGTATGACTTGTCTGTCGTCTGAGGCCGGGGCAGGAAGGGGGCTTCACCTTCGAACTAGACTGACCTCACATGTGACCCTGGTCCTAATGGAGAGGAGGAGCAAGAGGAGAGTACTAGAGAGATGGTCGACCGAAGACAGAGGAGAGAGGGAGACAGTAAGAGAGCCAAAGGCAGGCCAGAACATCAGCTCTGGCCCCATGGTCCTTGGGAATCGGAGACCAGAGGAGAAGAGGTGAAGAGAGAGGAGTTCCTAAAAGCCCAGGAGAAACTAAGGAACTGGGAGTACTGCATTTGATAAAGTGATGCAGGTGCCACCCAAATCGTGAGAAATAAAAGGGATCTTTCAGGTTTCTCAAATTTGTAAGAATCTGAAATACAGATACTATATACCTAAATGCACACAATTCAAAAAGCCCTCTTCTTTTTGTTCTATGGCAAAATTCAGGCTGAATGTGTCAGGCTGGGTTGGCTGGCGTTGTGGCTCTCCATAACGGTTCACTTAACATAAGCTATACTCGGAGTGTGGGCAGTTTTTGGTGGGGGAGGGGAAGAAACAGGAAATGAGAGCCTTTTCTCAAAAGAACTTGAGACCAGCTACATGAAGCAATCCACCTCTCCCTGGATGACGCACTATAGTGGGGGTCTTTGGGATAGAAGCTGTACCACAGCCCGGAGGATGGGAGACATTTCCAGAAGTCATTCTCACACAAGAATGAATCTTCTCTTGGGAAAATAGAGGGAAGTCAGTACGTAAGTTCCTTTCCACTTTGATGATATGTAAACGGATAATACAGACCTCTTTACTATTGGATTCTTTTATTCCATGACTTCGGGAAATGGGAGGAAGTGAAACCTGATCATTCTGTCACCTCTTCTGGGAAAGCAGACTCTCCTCCCCCCCCCCCCCCCCCAGAGCTGCTCTCTGTCCCCCAGAAAAGGAAGTACAGGATACAAGAGAGCGGAAGGCCCGGAAGGCCCGCAGGGAATTGAGGCCAGTGCCTGCCGAGCACCAGAATCCCCTGGCTTCCAGGGACGGGCTGGCTCCAAACAAGCCGACCGGACCCACAGAACTGAGGGTTCTCCAGGGAATGCAGAGGAAGGCTTTCCTGCTGGAGTGAACCTGAGCCTTTGCTCTGCTCCCACCTAGCACATGTTGCTAAGAGACTTTTCTTGGGACAGAAGCAAGAGCAGAGGGAGGTGAGGGATGCACCAGGGTAAAGGTCTCACTTCCAGAGCTACCATTCTGTGAGAGAAACTCAGTTAGAGGAACGGTCTTGTTCTTGACAGCCTGCCTGCATTTCTGATTTCGTGTACCCCAGGGCCTCCAGCCCAATAGAGTAACCTCCTGGTGCCTGTCGAGTGTTGTGGAGCACACAGTTATGACTCCCTGAGATACTGGACAGAGCTGAGAAGGCCAGATGAGTTCCCTGGCTACTGTAATTTTCAGCAAGTGCCTGAAGCCTTGACCTTGGAACCACAGCCCTGCCCACAACCCCATCACTGGCTCCTTGTTATTGTCCCCGGGCTGGACACCACAAGAGATAAGGACAGAGTCCATCCTCGGCTCCTCCACTAGGGCCATGGTTCCTCCTCTTCACTAGCTCTCGACTAGCTGACTTATCCATGACTGGCCCATAAGGCTAGTAATCCATGAGGCTCAGAACCTGTGTTGTTCCACCAAATGAGGGACCAAACGGATACAGTTGAGCTGCAGGTTCAGATGGTGCTGGGCCCCCTTGGAGGTAGAAAACTGCTCAGGACACTACCTGGGACTCTCAAGAACCGGTCACCTGAAACTACTCCAAGCAGGATGATGAAATGCTTTCTAGCAACAAACAACTGAAAATACTGGCAGAATTATCCCTTTTATTCTGATTATTTCTAAAGATGACAAATATTTCAAGAATCAAACTCCTTTTCAAGCTTCCCGATTTGTTGCAGACAACTAAGACAAACCCAAAATGTCAAGACACCTTAAACTATGGAGATGTTTTACATACACTGGGAGGGAGAACGTACAGATGGAGAGCGGTATGCGCACACTCACCAGATGACGAACGTCTATCTATCGTATCCTGTAAACCACGCCAGACACGTCGGGGGGGGGGGGGCTGCGTTTAGATGACATCCCCAGTTCTCACTCCCGAGCTCCTGCAGCCCAGGTGGGAACTCCTGGAGGCGGACCATCTGGACTAGCCCAATTCAGTCCCACAATGGTGGTAGTAGGGGGCTGTTGCCCGGACTCCAAGAGGTTCAAGTTTTATGAGGCTAAGAATCCCAGGACAGGTGCTGAGAATCAGGAAGACCCTAAGAGCAGGACTGAGGGGACCAAGTGGCTTAGCAGCTCCCCTGGTGACTTGAAGTACCCTAGGCAGGGGGACAGAGCTGGCTTCTGGACCCCATTGCCTCCAGGAAGGGTAGCAACAAGAAAAAGAAGAAAACCACAGTATTCAAATATATGCCAGTCAGATTAGACAAGGAGTAATTTGAATCAACTGATCCACACACTGACCCACTTTGTAACGAACACATTTCAGGGGAGACAAATGTTGCGTAGGTCCTGCAGCCCATGCGGACGGTGGCAAAGGAGGGGCAGGGCAATGAAGGGTGCCATGGTCTATGTGAACAGTTTTAGGCACGTGATTTATAATACTCTGTGGACGTCTAACAGGTTAATAAAATATATATTATATAAATATATCTCCTACTGTACACACTGCCCTCTTGTGCAGCCACTGTAACTCCATGCCCCAAACTCAAACCAAGGTGTGCCAGGTTGGACCCTGATGCTTGCACCCCTCCCTTTTATACTCCAAACCTGTCATCCCACACTGGAAGGACGAGGGAGGACAGCCAGGAAGACTGCTTCCATAAAGCTCAGATTCTGGAAAGACTGATGAATCATCAAAGTACAACGTTTAAGCCAATGCCTACTACAGTGGGTGTACGCAGCAAATGGACAGAAAGGGGAAAAAAACAAAACAAAACACGGAGAATAGGCTCCATCTTTTAACATAGTAACTTTCCAAGTCCTCTCCACAAAGAGGCATAAGGGAACTTGTCTGGGAAGGTGGCCTCAAGCCCGCAGAAGGGTCACGTTGGATGGCCAGTCACACCCTGAGACCATGCCTAAATCTTTATAAGCCACTGTCTCTGACCTGCATTGTTGCCTGAAACATAAAGCAAAGTGAATCAATCCCTGCCCCTCCTTCCTGCCCTAAGCTCCCTCTCCCGCTGTAGTCACTGTCTCCCAGCAGGCCTTCTAGAGTAACTGCTATCCCCCAGCAGGGTCAGTCCAAATGTGACTGAGTCCTATGCTAGCCTGGAGGAGGATGATGCCTGGGATCCTGTGCCTTGGGACTCAGAGTCCAGCCTCTCGGTGCAGATCAAGTGGCTGACCAGCTTCACACACTTCTGATCTCCCCAACCCGTTTGCCCTTGGCCCAGGGAAGCTCATGCTTGCTTTACTTCACTGAAGTGAGGAGATCATAGAAACACTCATGGCCTTGGGGTCGTGACCAGCAGTGGCTCTGTTAAGGTGGGAACTGGAAGGCATCACTGTTTCAGCCCAGAAGAAAACAAGACCCAAAGCAGGCTGGTTAGTGGTTTCCCACTCCTCGGTGAAGTCCATGGCCACCACATGGTCCAGAGGTGTTTTTGAGAAATGAGCAAGACATCCCAGTAATAGCATATTGGTTGGTGTGTTTTCCCCCTAAAGTCCTGCCTTCATTTTACAGTCACACAGAAGAAATAACCCCATTGCCCAATCAAGCCTGGAGGAGATGTGTTACTATATACATTTTTTTCTTTCTTTAAAAACTTCTTTCTTTTTTTTTTTTTTTTTTTTGGTTTTTGTTTTTTTTGTTTTGTTTTTTTTTTTAAAAATCATTTGAGTTGCAGGTCAGGTAAGTTGGTTCTGGAAGTATTGGTAGTTCCATTGGTATGAGAGAGACTTGTCTACGGGCAGGTAAACCCAAATTTGCCAACACAGGCGATAACCAAAGCGGCCAGCTGCAGCTGCTGCACAAATGGTGGAGGTGGAGGAGGGGGAGGAGGGCACCACGGACACAGGCGAAGTCGAAGACGGGACAACGCCGAGGACACCTGCTGCTGCTCTAACATGGGTGTTGGTGCCACCTGTGAGAAGAACCAGGTGAGTGGGCACACTATACAGGAGGGCTGTACAAACTGGGCACCGGACAGGTAGTTCCTCTGGCGGTCAAGGTGGCTCTACCTGTCCTTAAGCTCTCGTGTTACCCGCTTGGTAATCCGTCCACACATCAGGCCAATCAGGAACAATATACAGATGCTCCCACTGATCACAGAGAGAATGTAGTTCTTTGATGGAGATGTCATCACTTGCATGGCGAGGTCGGAGAAGCCATCTGCTGGGGCCACCTGGAACGACACATAGCAGCATCGGTCTCTGAGAGAGAACTGGGCTAGGGTGGCGTCAGCTCTATCCCGCCCCCCC